TTTTCCCCCCCCCCCCCATCAAATGTTACTATATATTTATTGTTTGAAACACATACAAGCTTTGCCTATTTCTGAGGAGTTTTTAACTGAGCTTTACAGAGTAGAAGATATCATGGTAGTAATACTTAAATTTTGCTATAGTAGTGTAGTGATCATCCGTACCTAAGTCACTTCAATGCTAGATGCATGCTTTTTATTCTATTACATTCACTTGAAGCCATTCAGGGAGCAAGAGCATAGGGGAAATTGTGTATGGTAGTAGATAGTATGGTAGTTTTCTGAGTATTTTCTCCCTTCATTTTTTTTCTTTTGGTGTTCACCATCTGGCTGGAAGGGTTAAGTGGATACTTCAGAGCATCTGTTAATGACTTTTTGGTTCATATAGTTATACAATGAGAACTCTTCTCAGAATAAAGATATTGCTTCTGTTATGTCTTTGGTATAGAGTAGCTGTATACCAAATTTGTGCTGTTTGTTGGCCAGACACTGCAACAAGTTTCCCAGAGGGTTGTGCAATAATCTCCATTCCTGGAGACTTTCAAAATTCAGCTGGACAGGACTTATAGTAACCTGATATAATTTTCAGGTTGGCCCTGCTTTGAGCAGGGGATTACATCCATTGGCCTCCAGAGGTGCCTTCCTGCCTAAATTATTTTGTGAATCTAACTGAATTTATCCTTGGTCCTATTCTACTTAAATCTTACCTCTTTACTTGACTTCACTGAAATCACTGTAATGCCCTTAGGAATTAATTTGACCTTGTCTGCTTTTCTTATTTCTCCCCTTACAGTTTTCTCTGTCAGTTCAAATGTAAGAGAAGCTAGAGTGAACTCCTGCCCTTTTTCATAATGCTGGCCCATAATTTAACTTGTCCTGTTTCCCAAATGGTTTGATAAACAGTTAAGGAAGATCATTTTATATCATGTGCACTCACACACAACCAATTTTTTTTGAGAAAATTCTGAAAGAAACACTTAGAATTTTAGAAGACTAAGAGCTATCTAAATTTTGAATAATAGTATTAGTGTCAGGGACGCTTACAGTCAAAAGCAATGATGGTGGGGAAAAAAAAAAAAAGTGTTCCATATTTATTTGTTTTGCAGACTAATCATACCAATCATGGTTCCCCTTCCTTTCTTTTGATGAAGACTTCTGATCATTTCCCTTCCACAGTTGTCTGCCCTTTGCCTATTAATGTAAACTCCCTTGTGTCTCCCAATATGGAACTTAGCTGGGAAAGTTAATTGATTTTGGAGAGCTAATCAGATGCTCCCACAGCCAGATATCCTGTCTAGTTTACAGCTGTAAACCTGAGATACCATCTCCTTAGCTTACCTGCGGTGCTGTAAACCATAGGGCTGATCCCGTGTCCGGATAGTTTACTGTTCTGCAGACACACTCATGTATTACTGATGACCAATGAAGGTGTTTTCTTTATAAATCATAAACATATTCTTTATGCTATAATTAAAATACAGAGTAGTATGAAATCTAGGTCTAAGTCCTGCAAAGCCTATTCACGTTTGCCTTGCCTTTTGACATTGAAACAGCTGTAGCTGTACAACAGAGCATATGGGCCCACTAACAATGTGGGAGAGCAGCCAATTTGGTCCTGCGATAAAACAGGAATCAGCTGTGGGAAATAAGCCAAAGAAGCGTGATTCCCACATAAGGGACTTAAATAGGTGTTAGTCCATAAAGAAGCTCTTTGGCAGGATTTAGAGCAGGCTTCTCTACACAGAAGGCTTTTCTCCTGAGATCCTACGTTAACTGAAGTGCACTGATTTCCAGGAGGGTTGTGGAGTTATTGTCTTGTCAGCTGGTGCTTTCCTCTTTTCTTTTTTTTTCTTCTTTGTTTTGTTTTGGTTTTAGTTTTTTAAATAAAGCCTTTATAGCACATTACTGTGTAATTATAATCTCATGTGTAGTACTAAACCATTTACTTCACATGATTGTGGGAAGAAAAATTGAGGAAATTTTTCTGCTGCGTGGGGCCCTCAGATTCCCTCTGCTCTGATCCAGGGAATGCCTTTTGCAATGTGGCTAGTTGGGCAATCCTGACAATTTTCAGGAAACAGCGATGTTAATACTTCAGCTACTCTTGTGTTGTGTAGTGTTTGCATCTGTGGTTTTCATTTGTCTCACCTCTGTCTGAGAAGAGAAACAATTTGAAATGTAGAAGCTTCAAAAGAAAAAAGTTGATTGTACCATCCTGATTTGTTTACTACAGAATTAGTATATATTTAATGATTACTATAGTCTGTAGAGTTGAATTACGGACTAACTTCATTTTTTTCTGAATTACGAACTTTTCAGATAGTTCGTAGAAGTAGTGTTGTACTGCATTCTGTGATATAGGTAGCAAGTCAGATTTTTTTTTTTCTTTTTTTAGAGGCGTCAGTATATCTTAGGTAAGAAAGGAATAACAAAATCAAACAACAGCAAGTCATTCATTTGGAGATGCATTCCTTATTTTTGTTCAAGCCTGCTAAAGTCCAGCTGTTCTGATACTCAAGATGTCCAAATCATTGCCAGTGGAGGTCACTGGATCAAAACTCCCTGCTCAAAGCAGGACCAGCTTGAAAGTTAGATCAGGTTATTATGAGCCCTGTCCAGCTGAGTTTTGAAAGTCTCCAAAAGAATGGGCATTATTCCGCAAATCCTCTGTGAAACTTGTTCCAGTATCCCAAGCAATAAATTGTGAGAAGCAGTATTTTAAAATATGTTTATGTGTGGCATTAACTTTGCAGCAGTTCTTTTAAGACTCCTATTTATAGTAATCACAGATTTTAAAAAAAAGAACAAAAAAATCATTAGCAAAATATTCAGCCATTTATTCTTATAAATAGACTGAATTGTACTTTTGAGAAGAGGCAGTTCTGAACGCTGTAGCCCGTGAATTTGTATGAGTGTGAGTGAGCATTTGGCTCCTTGTTTTCACCATATATTACTTCTGTTCATTCCTTTTAAGCACTGCTTGTGTGTATGAGAATAACAAGAAATCTTTTTTTTTCCTCCTTCCTATTGTAGGCAAGTATTTCCAAATGGGCTTCCTGAAGAATACTCTCTAGTTGCTACGTTCCGTGTACGGCGAAATACCAAGAAAGAACGTTGGTATATCTGGCAAGTTTTAAATCAGTATGACACACCTGAGGTTAGTCGTCTTTGAATTATTTTTTTCATTAAGTTTCTTTTTTTTTCGATATAATATGGCAAATATAGCTTAGTGGATGTTTCACCACTGGATTTAGCTACAGTTTATATGGAATAGACAGACTGCTCTGAAATAATTGATGATTTATTATAGGAATGACAGAAATTTAACAGAATGTATTGAGTTAAGACTGCAAACTAAGATAAGGCATGTTATGATTTATAGCTGATATATATTTACAAAGTTACATAGAAGAATGCTTCATAACATAATTCTTGTCCAATCTATGTAGTCAAAAGTATTTTTATTATATATAGTTTATATATGGGTTTAATTCTTATACTTGTAACTTTTAAATGACCACTTCTTTTATTTTATTTTGCTTTCAGATTTCTGTCCTTCTGGATGGTACAAAAAAAGTTGTGGAGTATATGACCAAATCTGCTCAAGGAAATATACTGCACTACACTTTTAAGAGTCGAGAAATTTATCCATTGTTTGATCGGCAGTGGCATAAGCTTGGTATTAGCGTGCAGTCGGGGATCATTTCCCTCTATTTGGATTGTAATTTAATTGAGAGAAAGCAGACTGATGAAAAATTCACCATTGACTTGCAGGGAAGGACTCTGATTGCTTCTCGCGCTGCAGATGATAAGCCTGTGGACGTGAGTAGCATGAAAGGAAAACCAGATAATTTGAAATTATGTTTTAGCCACGCTTTTACTGACACCATCGTAAAGAATTACGTAGATAAAAGGTTCAAAACTGGTTATTAATTTTGAGTGTGTATTCTTAATTTGAAGTCCTTAAGTCTTTTTCTCTAAACAATATTCAGTGCTGTAGCATCTGCTAAGGCAAACCTTCTGTTACCAAAGTAACTACAAAAACTCAGTCCTGGTTTCAGGAGTCTGTTTTTCTGTATTTGCTTTGGAGTAAGAGCCACATAGTTACCATAGACATATTATTACTACATTTAGAGAGAACTTCCAGTGGTAATTTTTTTCTTTCAATTTTTATGAGATTTATTTATAAATATGTATCAGTCATCTGTTACAGTTTGTCTCTCTTTGATAAAGGGGAGACACAAAAAAATTAAGGATTACCTCCGTATCAAGATTGTATCACGTGCCAGGGTAATTCAACTATGCAGAAATAGGGGCATATTGTTCATAGTTGTTGCTCCTTCCTCCTAATGGGAGGGATTAGGAAGCGGCTGGCGGTGTGTTTCCTGCAGCCTTTGGTGCAAGAATTACCCAAGGCAATGCCATAATATTCTGGGCTGTGTTCTGTCCTAGAGATGCTCTCCTCTGTGCAGAGAGCTCACAGCAAGTAATTTGAAAGCTCCAGGAAATGTCAGTTTGTTTTAAGTATGCTGACATCCCATTACCAGGTTTAAAGCATCTGGCTTGGAGTTTATAGTGACCATGTGAAAGCTTCAGCTATATTATGTACACTGTAGAGTTCTAGATGAAAATAGCACATTGTAACTGCAAGCTAGCATTGTGGGAGGAATCAGTCCTGTGAGGCGCTAAACACTTTGGCCTGGACTCAGAGCTCTTATTTCAAGGGCCAAGCTTATGCTTCATTTTATTTTCTAAGACTGAGTTCAGCTTTATTTGAAATGTATGTACCATCTCCTCATTTCCAAGTAGCATGCAGGAGAAGGAGCAGATTCTTTTTATCTTGTGTTGGTTGGATAACTGAGTGGAAGTTGTCAGTCGGGTTTTCCATGTTTGCAGGAAAACATTATGGGCATAAAGCTGATGAAGGCAGCGGAGCGGATCCTGTACCAACAGTCACTCTTCTCAATACCAAGTGCAAGGGAGAGAATAACAGGATACAAAACATGCAGAAAGAGGCATACAAGGGCAAGATTAGCTAGTTAAAATCAGATGCTGTTCATCTCACCAATCCACCAAAAATCTCTGAAGCTCTATGTACAGAATTTGTGATTTTTGCTCTTCAGGTGATTTAATGGCAAGGTCCAGGCAAAGGTCTGTCCGAAGTGATAGAAGATGTATGTGGGATAGAGCTTATCAAACCTTTACTCTAGTTCACTGCAGGAGAAAATTACCTTCCTGAAAAGAAGGTTTGCGGAGGATGTCTAGAGGGCTAAATGCCTATATAGCGTAGGAAGAGCAGTACAGAGGGATGCAACTTACACGAAGATAAATTAAATCTAAAATGTGATTTACATCGAAGTAATAGACTGCCTAATTTGTTCCTTAAGTGAGGAGCTGTGTAATTGTTTTGGATTTGTCTCTTTTTCCAGCATTTCAGAAATATGCAGTGTTTCAGAAAGAAAGTTCATTATGCCAAGATAAGAAAATGCATGGCATAACACATGATTTTTTACATGTCATATTAATCTCTTTTGTATTAATAGATTGAACTTCACCGCATAACAGTGTATTGTAATCCAAAACTTGCAACAGAAGATACTTGTTGTGAAATATCTGCAGACCTGGTAAGTTATTTGTTAAAATGCAAATGTTAATACAAAAGAAATTGCTTCATTGTTTCTTGCTAGAGAGTTGCAAAGAAATTTCAATAGAAATGTTAGATTAATTACCTCCTAAAAATGAATCCTGTATCTGGAGTCATGGTCCATTGTTTCTTGCAACCTAACTAAATGGAACAGAGGAACTTCAGTAAAAGGCACTAGGTGCTGCTAGTGCTTTTTAAATGCATTTCTTAACATTGATTAATATCTAATTACTAACTGAGGAAGTCTCAGAGAGTAGGAAACAAACCACTGCGATGGCCTGAGGATGGCTTCCAATAAGAAAGGCCATTTCAATAACAGTTGCATCTAGCGAAGCATTACAGATGATAAACAAAGCCCATGAAAGAGTTTGCATGACAACAAAAGGGAAGATAAATAGGAAGATGTTGAGGGTGTTTCATAACTGGCAAATACTTTCTTCTTTGTAACAAACATGCTGAGATGTATATATTGTTTAACATAGGGGAAAACATTGATTTAGTTTAGAGGGTTCACTTTTCCCTTTTGTTTTGATAGACAGAATCAATGTAAACTGGAAGACACTAGAACTATAGAAATGCTTGAAGTTGCAGATGTGATTGTTTTGCTGAATCAAGCCCATTTGGAGGAAAAATCCACCAAAAATCTCTGAAGCTCTATGTACAGAATTTGTGATTTTTGCTCTTCAGGTGATTTAATGGCAAGGTCCAGGCAAAGGTCTGTCCGAAGTGATAGAAGATGTATGTGGGATAGAGCTTATCAAACCTTTACTCTAGTTCACTGCAGGAGAAAATTACCTTCCTGAAAAGAAGGTTTGCGGAGGATGTCTAGAGGGCTAAATGCCTATATAGCGTAGGAAGAGCAGTACAGAGGGATGCAACTTACACGAAGATAAATTAAATCTAAAATGTGATTTACATCGAAGTAATAGACTGCCTAATTTGTTCCTTAAGTGAGGAGCTGTGTAATTGTTTTGGATTTGTCTCTTTTTCCAGCATTTCAGAAATATGCAGTGTTTCAGAAAGAAAGTTCATTATGCCAAGATAAGAAAATGCATGGCATAACACATGATTTTTTACATGTCATATTAATCTCTTTTGTATTAATAGATTGAACTTCACCGCATAACAGTGTATTGTAATCCAAAACTTGCAACAGAAGATACTTGTTGTGAAATATCTGCAGACCTGGTAAGTTATTTGTTAAAATGCAAATGTTAATACAAAAGAAATTGCTTCATTGTTTCTTGCTAGAGAGTTGCAAAGAAATTTCAATAGAAATGTTAGATTAATTACCTCCTAAAAATGAATCCTGTATCTGGAGTCATGGTCCATTGTTTCTTGCAACCTAACTAAATGGAACAGAGGAACTTCAGTAAAAGGCACTAGGTGCTGCTAGTGCTTTTTAAATGCATTTCTTAACATTGATTAATATCTAATTACTAACTGAGGAAGTCTCAGAGAGTAGGAAACAAACCACTGCGATGGCCTGAGGATGGCTTCCAATAAGAAAGGCCATTTCAATAACAGTTGCATCTAGCGAAGCATTACAGATGATAAACAAAGCCCATGAAAGAGTTTGCATGACAACAAAAGGGAAGATAAATAGGAAGATGTTGAGGGTGTTTCATAACTGGCAAATACTTTCTTCTTTGTAACAAACATGCTGAGATGTATATATTGTTTAACATAGGGGAAAACATTGATTTAGTTTAGAGGGTTCACTTTTCCCTTTTGTTTTGATAGACAGAATCAATGTAAACTGGAAGACACTAGAACTATAGAAATGCTTGAAGTTGCAGATGTGATTGTTTTGCTGAATCAAGCCCATTTGGAGGAAAAAAAAAAAGATTAAAAAAAAAAAACCCTCAGAAAATATGTTAAAATATTGGTTTGCTAGTTATGAATAGTCTGTAAGAGCACGCTCCTCTGAGATAGTGGGCCGTACCATCACCACTCAGCCTGCAGTCAGCAAAAAAACCCAGAGTGTGCAGGAGGACTAATTGATTCCATCTGCCAAGAGATGGGAGAAAAGGGTACCTGGAATGGAGGGATAAAGCTGACCAAGAACAGAGGAGCAGAAGACTTTGTGGGAACTGACAACTGATAGGTGCTCAGAAGCATGGAAGAGGCTGGATCTAATTTATCAAGGGAAATTTCAATATTAAATAATAATTTATTGTTTAAATATGTTTCAAAATATATTCCTCATAATAGTGCAGGCTTTTTCTTGAATGCATAAGCTCATGGATAAGTGCAATTAATCGATTTTTTTTTTGTAGGCTCCACTTTGTGCATGCTAATACAATTTATTTAGCAGTTATGACACAGTAGCCAAAAAGTAAAAACAAAACAAACTCTAATTATATATGAACACAAAAAGATCAAGGATTGGCTTTATTAATAGCATCTTAAACATTCATTCTGCTATATAGCTAAAAGCACTATCAGTTACATTTGTATGTCTTATGTTGAAGGAGTAAAAAATGGCGGACTACTTGGTAATGACTTTCATACTGAAACCAGCATTACCTTTTCTGTTTTATTTTTTCATTACTTCCTTACCAATTATAAGGGCTACATTTTTCAGTAATTTAAGGGAAGGAATTTATCCTTGGATGCAAATTTCTACACTAAGCTGTAAATCCTGTGGGAATTTCTTTGACAGAAGGCTCGCAGGAGACCTTATTACATCTTAGCGAGAGCTTCTGAAATTTATCAGGTTCTGTTGACTTGTCCTGTAGTATATCTTCAGGTTGGCTCAGCTCTCATGTGTTACACACAGGTGAATATTGCCTTCAGGGCTTTTTGTTTGTTTCCAAACTCTGCATGCCCGAAGTACTTCATTACAAAAGAATGACAGATTTTTCCCTCGCACTCACTTTGACATTTTGCATTTCAGGGCAGGGGGTGGAGGATGGGATGAGACTGAGAAGTATCCTCTTTTTTTTCCCATGGACATTTTCTACTTCACTACTACTTTTGGGAGACTTTATTCCTCTGTCTGGGCTCCTTTGGAAGAAAGAAGTGGGACAGTCAGATCAGTTTTAACTGGCATTGATTTTAGTACAGAAGGATCACAATGTCTAGACTTCATTTCACTACAGATTTTTCCTCTGTTTGGCAGTTGTTGTGGCTCCTCTGTAATATGGTGTGTACAGGAGTGTTAAAACAAAAAGTAACTTCAAAATACTGTTTGGATGGTATTTATCTATTAAGCAAAGTGGAACAAAAATCAGAAAATCATCTTTTTATTTTAGTGCCCACGTGAGGAGAGGTTACTTGCTACGACTTCATCACCAGTTACTGTTCATGCCAGCAAAATATACACGTTTCCAGGAATGCAGCAAGAATCTAGAGAGAGATGCCACTGCTTTCCAAATAAAGTATGAGGTTTTCCTGTTGCTTTTAGTGCATCATGCTGTTTAATCCTGCTAGGTATTAAAAAAAAAAAAAAGGTGGGTTGTTTTTTCTGTAGTTATGAAAAATATTGTACTGGTTTGTAGTGTTGTCATGTACTTACATTGTATTTCCTAGTTAAGAAACCGTACATTTTCGATTTAATTAATTTAAAGTTAGAGTTGCAGAGGTCTGTTGTTTGAATACACACAAAAAAAAAATCCATGCTAAAAATAAGAATTGTATTTAGGCATTATATTTAGTGTAAATGTTTTTACTTGAGAATAAGTTATTTTCTACATAGTGCTTTTTTTTTTTTTAATCCTTCTCCTGGGTGTTGCGCTATATTTATTCTGAGTCATTTGCTTTGTTAGGCTTTTGTGATAAAGACAAGGAAACCAAACCAAATACGTATTTTGGATCTGCTTCTTTGTTGATTTTTAATTTCTTTTAAAATCAGGGAGAAGCAGGATTGCCAGGAGTAGCTGGTTTGCCAGGACAGAAAGGACAGAAAGGTGAAAAGGTAAAATATCAGTTGAATTCTCTCTTTCAAATCTTTATCTTTGGCTTATCTTTCCTAAATAGAAACTTTATGGATTTTGTTATTCCTTAAAGGAGTTTCCTTGTACACAGGTTAAATCCTTTATCAGTCAGTCTCTGGTCCTGCACCTGGGCTTCCTGCCAGGCAGCCTACAGCTGTCTCACTTTGAGGTCCCCTCATCAACTCCATGGAACACAGTTTGCCTGCCTGGGAAGCACATGCCTACCCAACCTTGTCAGCATGTCCTATTGCCTCTTCCCCTTATCCAAAAAAAAGAGAAGTCAAGTACATCATCTGTGGCAAGGTTTTTCCCATATCATGTGTGTATATCACTGCTGATGGACAGAATCCTGTGCCGTGGTTTCATCTTTGCAGACATCAGTAGGAGGGTATGAATTCACTTGTATGATCTCAGCACCGTATGTTCTTTGACATCGCTCTTACCTAGGACAGGCCAGTTGGTGCTCCTTTCCTTGGGCCTATTCTGTATTTTTGTTCCGTAATGCTTACCATGACATCCTGTGTTATTTAGCTTGGGGGGTTCCTAGTAATAAAGGTCAGCATATCAGATGTTTTCTGTTCACACTCAATTGCCTAAATTTGGTTGGAGGATGCTGGATTAGGACATGTCTGGGAATATGTTTTTCTTCTGGGAATAAGTTTTTCTTGTGCTAATAGAGGGGGCAACTTGAATAAACTATTGCAAATCAGCCAGAAAGGCAGTGGATAGGAATTCTGAGTTCAGGGAATGTGGTGTGAGAGGAAGATACCTGGAATGTCCTAATCCAGAGGTTAGGATGGAGGTGTCCTAACCCAGCATCCTCCCTCACAGCGCATTGGTTAATATGTGATCTGAAATATTTTGTGAAGACAGCCAGCACTGTTCCTGGGACTGCAGTACCTGGCTGAAATGGGTCCAGTTCTGAGAGGGCTTATCTACACAGTTGGTTGAAATTAAGTAAATTCCTTGATAGTGTCTTCCCCCCCAACTCCTCACCTCCAATATATATTTCACTTTTGATACTAGCTGTATCTTTTCCCTAGGTGGAAAAAATCGTTCAAGCATGTTAGTTTCTGTAGCCCAGCTGAACCTAGAGAGATTGCTGGCAGTTTCCAAATTTAATCACAAATTTTTGCTGATCCTAGGTCTGAGTATATAGAACAATTGTCAGTGTTAAGAGTTAGCCTATGTTACCAACATAGGGAGTTTCCTAGCATTTATTTGGGAAACTGCTCATCTGTTCCTGACATGATCGATTTAGACTATTACTGCTACTAAGATGAGAAAGGAGACCTCATAAGTCTAATTTTCTTACCATTCTGTCTCACAGCCAATTAGCAATATTTACCATGCTAAGCATAGTATCTCTAAATAAAGCATGGGGTGCCTGTGGTCACCTCCAGTTCCATTCTCCTGTTCGTTTTACAAAAAAACCCTCATTGCATTGATTCAAAAACCATCCAACAGTCAATGAACCCTTTCAACTTCTGTGCGTCACTGATAGCAAATGGCATGAGGCCATGTCTGACATGGTTGGAAATTACAAAGTACAGAATTTTTGCTTAGATGTAAAACTGAAAATTGTTAAGCTTGAGATTCATGAAAAATAAATCTTTCAAGATTTATACAAATAGATTTTTTTTTTTTTTTGGTAGTGACCTGCTACCTCTAAGTCCAAATTTGATCTGTTTATCACCAGCCACTCTGATACTTCACTGAAGATTTAGAGCCCGAGCAGGATTATGAGCATCCAGCAGCTTAGTCTGATGATAGTAAATTTACATTTGTGAATGTCAATTCACAAAATTCAATGAATCACCAGGTTAAAGTCAGAGGTAGCAAACAGCTAGAAAGCTGCTTAATTTGAACCTTCCTTATAATTGACGAGTACTTGCTACTTCCTAGCTTTGGGGTGGTGTTTTTTTTGGTTTTGTTTGGGTGTGGGTGGAGGGCACATTACTGCTGTGATTAAAAGGATGGTCTCACTGTTGACCTTTGGGAGCAAATGAATACTGCCTTGAATAGTGCCTACCATGATGGAGTTGAATGACACATTCTCTGAGGCTTTAGTACCATTTTTTCTTGCATGTATGCAAGTTTTCAGTAACACTTGCTCTCAGTGATGGCCTTTTTACGTCAATAATTAGAGGTGGACAGGCAGCAAGACCCCAGACCATTCCAGACATGCAGGATACATGATGTATTGCCAGATTATGTAAAGGAGAGTAACAGACTGTGGTTGGATATTTTGTAATATATTATACATGAAATAGGCAGCTTCTTTATGACTTTCCTGGCCAGCACAAAAACCCCATGTTTTCTATAAGTTGTCTGATGGTTCTTCAGCCTATGTTTCCCACTTTGCTTGCGCTCAGGTCTTCATTTTATTGTTTTCTTTAGCTTCTAAGTCATATTATTATTAGCATCCAACTAACTATATTTAAATGCCCTTGCTGTGGCAGCATCCAAGTGAAAACAAGTAATGTTAATTTTTTAGCTTCTTTCCTAGGAAATTTCTGTATCTGTTGAATTTATCTCTTGTTCAGCGTAACATTCCTTATCCTTTCATTTTACATTGTCTCATTCCAATTTCCCATCCACTGTAATTAGTTGTATGACTGAATTTACATGTCTTTTTGTTGCTATGAGATTGGCAAGAAAGTCTCTACGTACACAAATTGATGTTAGGCTATATTCAAGCCCCCCAAAATTGCCCTTCTCTTCAGTCTAACATAGTTGTTCCCTAAGATCAGACACTGTTTTGCCTGTTCAGGAATATCCAAGCTATCACCAGTACAAAGCGTACACCAGATAAGCCATTTTTAGGCATTTTTAGTTATTAGCCTGTTTCCATTTCATTCCTGTGCACTTGGCAGTACTCTTGGCAGTCCTGTACTCTTGGCTCATCTTAGTACCTCTGAACGGGTCTGAGCCAAAGTCCAAAGTCCAAAGTGAAGTTTTAAATTTTAGCTTACGTAATTTCTTACAGGGACTGCCTCTGACATTAATCACAGAGATGATGGATCTAGTATAAAGAATGAGTTCTCTACATTACCTCTTTCACCTTCCACTCTATCGCTTTTGGAAACCCTGCCAGTACACTGCTGGGAACAGCTCTCTTCAGTGTGCTGGTATATCTTTCTTGATAATAATATACATTTTCTTACCTGGACATTTCTGATGCTATTGGCACACATAACCATGCAGAGATGAAAACCGGGAAAGCTAATTTACTTAATCAGTCTTACAAAACCAAAACTGATTTTGGTTATGGAGTGTTTTTACAACCAATGTAGGTTACTCATTTTATCTGAACTAGTATGTCCACATTGTAGACGAGCAATGTTGTAATGCAGTACTTTAGCAGTGTGTGCTCTAGGCCACGTTAGTGTCATTCTTTCTGTTTATTAAGTGCATTTGCTTTTACCTTAGTATTGAAATTGTCATCTGTACCTGGTTAGTACAGAACCCTGCTGAGAATATTTTCCTCCTCTTAAAATTCTTTGTAGACTTTGTTTTCTAGATTAAATATTGTGTCAAGTTAATCCCACTCCATACCACAGTGTAAATGTATTTTAAATAGATTTGCAATTTAAGGGACAAAATAAAGTGTTTAAATGAAATACTTCCTTAAAAGAATGGGGTTTGGTTTTATACGAGAAAGGACTTTGTTAACTTAAATAATGATCACTTTGTCATTCTCTCTATCACCACATTTGGCTTTAGGCTGTCTTTGCTGTACGTGACTCTTCAGTAGTAATGTGTGGTATAGGAATCAAGGTACTGTATTTTGTCTGCGGCTAGCATATAATTTCTAGTTCTATAACAGGTGCATTGAATACAGGCTGCATGGTGCAAAGAGGAAAAGGTCAAGTGCTTTTGAAACTCTCTGAATCATTAATGTAAAAAAATGTTCACAAGTGTAATACTGCAGGTGGTCTCAGATGTGCAAAATTGTTTCCACTTCAGATAGAAGGCTGATTGGTATCACTGGAAAGAAGCATGTTTGCTGCCTGCAATCTCTTTTTAAGAATTTAGTTTGGCTTGGCTTTACGGAAAGTTGACAGGAGCTTTTTTTTGCCTTTTTTTTTTTTTTTTTTTTTTTTTTAGCCTGCTGAATTTCCACCCTGTCTGCTTGAGTTTACCAAAATAAACATTGTCACAAATATAGTAACCATCCTATTGTTTGCAAGAGATCACCTTCTGAAAAATGTGCTATGGCTTAAATAGCTTATTCAATCTTGTGCTCAGGTGAAAAGTATTTTCACTGGTACCCTTAGTAGAAAATCCTAACAGTAGACTTAAAGCTCACGGTACTACCTTTGAATGTTGTTACACTGAGAGTACCTCATAACCTATAAATGCCAGCATTGTACTGCTAGTGTTCACCACCTTAAATTGTTCTTCTGGCAGCATATATTTCTGTTGGCTCTGGTAGTTCTAAGCAAATGCGATTCTTTATTCCCATTCTTACTAGTTTATTTACATAAACTTAAAAAGCTCAGTTGCAGTGTGTGTCAGGAGTTAGAATACTCTTGTTAAGGCATAAAAGAGATTTATTTAGATGTAGGCTTGATGGTCAGGAACCCTGTTTTTTCATCGCATTTCTATACTTTTGGCATTTACTATGTAAGAAAGAGAAAAGGATGCCTTTTCAACTTTTGTGAAGGACTTTGAGATCTGCAGAAGCAAAGGACAATGCCATTAAACAAAAAAAACAAGCAAAAAGAATTTAAAAATGCATTTGCTCTTTTATTCTGTCATGCTGCCTGTGTGAATGCTGTTATAGGTTGTACAACCTATAGTATCTGATCTTTAAACTCGTTGAATAACAGCATGAAAAACTAGAACCTTTCAGGCTGTGGTTATTAAAATCACAATTACAAGATAGAAGCATAACTTCATGATCTAATTTGCAGTGGAAAATAATTGTATTCAGGGTGGGGAGTCTGTCTGCAGTTAGTGGAACAGAAGTGTAAGC